TAGCAACAAGCATTCAGTACGATAGATTTCAACTCAAATGTTGAAAAGTTAACCAGGTGAGATAGGTGTGCATATAAGTTTTCCAATTCCACCTCCATATCCAATGGGTTTGACGTTCTATTCGGACAAAACTTTGGTCCCAGAGATAACACTTCTAACAGCATTTTGCCCCAATTTATGCTTCATGGATTGTGAACATATTGTTCGGGTTTGGTAGGGAACTCACCCACTGACTTAGTAGGATTAAGTCGTAGACGCAACGTGGTTCGGCTTCGTTCCATCTGTTAGGAAACAATAGACTGGACGTCAACCCCAAAAGATTGTTTTCCAGTCGAAGAGATTATTCAACACACGCTCAGATGTTATATAATTATACTTTAAATTCACAAGATTACACACCGTATGCCACTCATTGAAAGCTTGACGTCGTAGTGTCACACTTGTAATGTACACACGGTTTCTCCTCGAAATTGTCCAATATTGCTTCGGATACTCCGGATTGGTAACATCATCATCAACAAACTGAATTCGAGCATCTGCCAGGACCCGTTATGTACGGAATTTAACACATTTTTCAAATCCATGAAGTACGACGGGGTCTTTGGCCTGTTTAATCTATGCACAGTTAGAAAGGTAACGTCGATCCTGAACCTGATCGGTTGCAGCCGTTGCAAGAAATGTCCTCGCTCACGAATTTGAAATCACAAGTGATCGTGGGTTTTTTCTCTTACTACTTTTGTTATTACACGAAAGTGAGAACAGTAAAAGGGCAAAGCTCATGATCCGAAGATTTACTGCAAGTAAGCAGGTATGGGGAACATTAAAGCTAGAACGAGTTTGTTGATTCTGTGTTTGAAGACAAGGATGTTCTACGTTGGAGGGAAGATCGAAAGGGAGAGTGCTCCAAAGTTGTGCTGTTCTTGGGAAAAAAGATTGAAAGTCAGAAACGCGACACCTGGGGATGGTCACTTGAAATGGGTGACTAGCCGCTTGTGTGCGGAATCTACGAGGGAGAACGAGCGAGAGAGAAACAGCCCCGGAAATTTCATTAGAGCAAAATTCAAAGTAGTATCGATAGAATAAGGATAAAGAAGCAACTGTCCGACGGTGAACTAGTGACTGCAAGTTGCAAGTCGTTGATGAAACCTCACGTTGAACCCAAACAAGCGAATTGGACGAAGCTCCACATATGACCGAAGTATTCAAATGTAGGGCGAAGCTGAGCTTTTTAAAGCGAGAGGAGGTGAATGAGGGAGAAGACACGTCTGGCGCAAGGGGAAGCCGATTTTGCTCGCAGCGCGGGAAACAAGTAGATAAATATAAGGTGACCATGAAATAGAAGATAAGGAAAGATCCAATAGATTGCATGATTCTGTGGAACGGGGAACGTTAGCGTTGAAATTCAATGAAGGGGAGAAAAATGAATGCTTAAGAGAAATGGACATAAGGGAAGTTTCACTGGCATTGAACAGAACACGTTTGTGACAGCCCCAGGCAGAAATAAGGCCCAGATCAGAATTCAGGGAGAAACTAAGAGAGGAGCGGTCGTCACTAATGCTGGAGTTAGCAATGAACGAGGAGGTATAGGATAGAGAAGTGTGTAGGGTAGCGTTATCCGCAGAGGCGTGATCAGGATTTGAAGTCGAAGAAAGGTCATCAGAAAAGGGGAACGGAAATTACAGAACATTGGGGAACACCAGCATTCACAGGCACGGAACGAGACATGGTCCCATCGATTC